AGCACTGCTATATGAATTGCAGGACTCAGCCAGTATCTCTGCTTAGCTCTGCACTGCATTGAGTGAAGAGAACTGTTAATCAAGAAAAGGCTCTGGACTTTCTCTACAGTGCTGCTTAGTATAAGAAAAATATCTGACAAACAGTGCTTTTGTTCTGGCAGTAAATAAGCACTGCACTTACAACAATTCTCCTTCAGATGCCACCCTTCCAGCAATCACCTTTATCCCAGTATTTGCGTAAGCCTGGACTTTACCTCTTATTTACAATATAGGAATCAATTTGTATGGCTCTTGCAGCCCTCCTCCCTGTTAGCTGTACAGGATTGAGACTAGATGAAAAGACAAGGGAAGGGATGCTGACTTTCATCATCTCCTTGGCTGGGGCTGAGAGCAGAAATGAAAAAGTGTTGGTATGTACAAGCACATTTCTACTAACACTTGAGCAGTAAAGCTTCCTTTCATCCCTAAAGTGTGCCAAGATCTACTGGGAGTCTGTTATTTTGGAAATGCATACATTCAGCACTGTGGAGGCACAGAGAGGATGATGGGGAAGAGTAGCATTTTTTCCAATGGTGAAAAGGAAAACCTCACTGAGATCTGAGTGGTGATATGGAGGAAATACCAGCTTGAACATCAAAGTTGGAAGCTGTTTAAGTTAAACATCATTCAAAGGCTATCAAGTGCTGAGATCAGCAGTGTTTAGTTACATATTTATCTTCAGATTAACCCCATTTTAAAATCAAAACACCTACTCATCCCAGTTAGCACTCAAGAGCAATACCTCCCCATTACCAGTCACCATGGTTTGCACAAGACTGGATAGCCAACTTCTCACTGAGGAAGGCCAGAGTATCTGGACAAAGCAGGACTCAAGCAGAGATCTGCTTCTGTCTAAATAGGAAGGAGATTAAAGGGAAAAACTGGAAATCCAGAAGAATTCTCGCAGTCTGGAAATATTTTCTCTAAGAACAAACAGTGAAATACTGTCTAACTGCTCTTTTAAATCCTATTATTTCAGCTGCGCTTCAGTTCTTCCCAATGTTCTCTATATAATAAGCATTTCAAATGAAATGACATTATTTTAAAACACACTGTAGTAGGCAATTACAATTCCTGAATACTAAAATGCCAATATAACATAAGCAAAATTTACTGTTGTTCCTTAACTTTCTGCCATGTTCATTATATTTTAATGAATAAGGTTTCACATTAATTTTTCAAGCCTTTTCCTCAGAACCACATATTACCTCAGTAATTGCGTTACAGAATTAGGTCTCTATTTACATTCTCCTCTTGAATCCTAGAGACAAAACCTTGCTTTCATTTTCCATAGGTCAGCAGTATTACATCTTATTTTCAGAAGAGTACCACAGAGCTAGCAGCACTGCTGGGCCATGCTGGGACGTCCCAGAGACAGTGTCCATTGCATCCAACTGCTGACTCTGTGAGAAGATAGCAAGAGGTAATGCCACACTGTACTGGCAGGTGGGATTTGTGAGCACCAGAACAGCGTCTGTAAGTTTGGATACACCTGAGGACACTTCACTGAAAGTCAGACTTCTCCTGTGTTAGAGTTCCTCTACAGTTGTGCTCACCAGCCCACCATTTCCCATTCTCTTACCTCTGTCACTCCTGGGGAGGCACAGTTCACCTAAATGGCCTTTTCTAATGTGCTAACAGCAAAAAATGAATAAATGCTAATATCACAGTCCAGATGACCAGGAACTTCACCCACAGGTATCACCACTGATGGATACTGAATTTCCAGGCAAGGGCAGGAAGAAAAGGAAATTTTGGACACCTCCCACCCATCCTGCATCCCTCCTGGTGGATGACCATGCCCAGTGGGATGGGCACACTGCAGCACGGAGATCCTGTCAGCATGCTCTGCAGATCTGGGGCTGAAAGGCTGCTGGTTGATACCACCAGCAGATCCTGACAAGTGGCACCAATCGAGGTGTGTCAGTTTCAGGAAACATGAAGCTGGCAGAGAGGTAAAGAAGTTCAGTTGTCCCCAAAAATGTCCTCAAAAGCCCTTGCCACAGCATTCTGAGAAGCGGTTTCTCATTGGCATTACAGTAGATATAGTACTCGTCTGCCACAGCAGACAATTTCTGCATTACTTAAAGGAATGACACAGCCAAACCAAGTAGCTTAAACTGCTGTAAGTGACACCAGTAATTCATTTCACGCTGCAGCCAAAAGGTGAACATTTTTCCCCAGCAAATCTTCAGCTCTCCCCTGCATAACCAGCTGTCAACTCTTGACAGAAAAGAAAGAGGAAAGAAAAAGGGAGTAAGAAGATGGGCAGGAGATAAGAAGAAGGTAGCAGACCAGAAGGTGCTACACATAGGAAAAGGTGGGGATGTCACACTATGAAATGCTTTTCACTTATGATAGATAACTCTATTTTCCACCTGGGACAAAGACTGGGAAGAAACTGAGAAGTCCTGAGCAGAAGAAATACAGGTGCTGGCCAGTAAGCAGGCCCTGCTTGCCATCTGTCATCTTCCAAGGGATAGATTTGATTTCCTGTTCTTCATGACTCCAGCAGCTGGTCACACTGCTACGTGTGAGCATGCTGGGGATAACCAAGATTCAGGGATGTCTTTCTTTCTTCCAATGAAATGTATATGTGTTAAATCGAGTTATTCTGTATGCTCTCAATGCTTTAATTATTAATGTTGATAAACTATAGAAAATCTCATTCAATTAGAATTTTTTTTTTCCACCTCTGAGATAGAAGTAAGTTTCTCTATTGAAAGATCACTCTGTCCTTGTTCCTTGTGCAGTTATGGAGAACACAAATTAAATCCTAACTCCTGGCATACTGCACATGGGATATTACAGACACACACTTGGGTTCTGATGCTCTGTCAAGCAGGTCAACCTTTCATCCTTGCCACTCATCCCTGGTTTCATCCTATTCCTTTCTTCACAGTTACTATGCTCTTAATTCCCTTCTGTTTCAAAGTTGTGCCCATTCACTTTATACATCCCCACAAGAGCAGAGGCTTTTGCATAGGTAACACACTTCCCTCACAACCCAGTTTCTCCATGCCAGAACTTGCTATATCCCCTTCTCTCCACAGCACCAATTCTAAGGCTCTACAACCCCTACCCCACACCGTGACAATCAGATATCCTCCTCCACTCCCCCAGTTGATGCACTGCAATGCCCAGGTGTTCCCTATGGCTCTACACTGCTGCTGCTTCCCCAGTCTCCCTCCATAGCCATGGCTCGCTGTAACCTCCAAGTCACAGCTAGCATTGATTCCAGAGGTAGACACACAAGTGCTGAACAGACAGGCAGCAGTACCCCTTGTATCCTCACACTTTCCTCTGTTTAGTGATTTTCCCTTAAATCCACCACATTTTGCTCGCTGACACCCAGCACTTCTCTCGATGCTTCAGAATTGAGTTTTGAACTCTGCGCCAGCATTTCTCCACAACACAGGCTCCTATCCGCTTGAACAGAAAGCCTTGCAAGCTTTGCCAGCTACCACTACTCCTACGATTTCTTCCACAACATGCATCTGCTTGCAGAGGATGGGGAGGTGCCCTCGCTGTTGTCCAGAGGGCTTTCTGGAGTGCTGTCAGCCTGCTGCGTGCCAAGCTCTCTCTGACAGCTGCATCTGACTCCCACTGAGGTGCTGTGTTCTTCAAGTTGGCCACCCTGAAGAGTGTTTTGCCTGCGTCTGGAGTCAACAGACACATACAGAGCAAACCATATTCACCAGGGGCGAGGGGGTCCGAAAGATCCTGGGTCTGCTGTTGTGTATAGAGGTACAAAATAGCCCAAGATGGGGAAAAAAAACCCAACTCTGAAATATCCACAGATCACATACTAAAATATAACCATACATACTTTAAGAGAGGGAGAAATATCATGAATAATTCACTTGGCACATGGAAAATACTGTTGTGTATTTCATATGTGTGAAATAAATAAGCAGAAATTACTTAATTTGAATAACACTGAACACCTGATTCCAGAGACTGAGCAACACTTCACGCTAAGGCATGTAAAGAGCTCTTGGCTTGTTGACATTTCACCAGAACAGAGGAAAATTAGCAAGTTGAAAACAAATTTATATTGTGGCTTGCAGATAAACATTCACAGTGCATCACCTAAGCTGAGCCCTGACATTATGAAATGGCTGCATTTCATTGCTTGTGTTGGTACAGAAAAGGCTGAGAAATTGCACCTGAGATGACAATGTTACTGTTTATTGTCAATCATGTAGAATCCAACATTGAGAACAGTAAGTTGAGCTGTGTGTGTTTCTGACTCTAGAGTTTCTCCCAAAAATTTCATAGTGGAGCTAAGAAAAACAAAAAACAACTCTTCTTTTTGGGACTGGAAGGCTCCTTTACTTATAAAAAATCCCAAGGAGGCTCTTCTGCTAACTGTAAACTCCATGTTGCACAAGGATTTACATGGCATTTGCCTCCTGCTATCAGAGCAGCCAGGTAGTATTCAGAAAACCGTAAATAATTTATATGTGCTGTAATCGAAGCTTTCAGATATAATAATCAGGCACATTTCTCCAGAAATGTTTTGATTAATAACAAATTATTTATCATCCAGGTGCTAATTGGTCTGATTCAGGTTTGAGCAGTGTTTTTTCTCCTCTGCTAGAACTGGAAAAGCAAGGAACCCCTCCTGTAACACAGATGGATGTAGCTCTGCTTCAGTCTGTGACTATTATGTCACATCTACCTTTTCTTTAAACACTTCAAGGATCTCTCACCTTTAAAAACAAGAGCAGTGTGTGCAAAGAATCTGTAGGCATTGCTGAGACTTCTTCCCTCCTATGGCTCCAGCTTCAAGTTTCAATGCCAGCCACGGAGCATAAACATGGTTAAAGTCTGCTCCAGTGTCTCCTTCAGCGTTACACATGTGCTCCTGTCTTCCCACTGCACAGCCAGACAATGCAGGTGGCTTTGTTTTGCTTTGAGGAAAGAAATCCAAGCGCTATAAACAACCTTGTACTTACTGAGCTCTGCAATGCTCCCCACACGTGTAGCCAGTAAAGACTGCTCGATGGTCCTTAGCTCGGACTGGCTGAACATCTGCACTTCCCCAGGCTTGTTTGACCGTTGCTGGTCTTTGTGAAGGTTCAAGCTGTCCGGCAAGCAGAGAACACCTACAGTGGATAAAAAAAGAAAAGTTCCATGTAATTTCAGTCACTACTGCTGTCACCACATAGTATTCGTGGAACATTTTAAGGCTCATGTGAGTACAGCCCAAAGACAATAAGTATTTGTAACTCAGTGTCACAGATGACTCGTTCTCAGAAGTGGCCCTCATTAACTCTTCTGAATATCCTTAAGTCACTCATGATGTCAGCAAGGGATAATGCTTATAGAAAACCCCATTTAATCGCCCATGGTGGAGTCAAGAGGGTTCCAAAGAAGCCTTCTAGAAACATCCTCAAAACCATGACATCTCAGCAAAAGAATTCTTTGGGATTGACTTTAAAATTATACATAAGAAGGCTGATACATTTACAGGATTTTCCTGTATGGGGAATTCCACTGACAGTTGCGAAAATAATAGGCAGCATCAAGATGCCTGCTGTGTCATTGATGAGTTTATTGGATTTCTTTTGTAAATACAGCTCCTGACAACTGAACTGCATAGATTTCAAAAGCCCATCATGCAGAAGTCCTCAAAGCAGCGAACTTTAATGGGGAGGCAAAAGCAAGGCTGCTGACATTAAAAAAAATTTACAATACACATCCATGCAGGCACAAAAGTCACTTTCTGCCATGATATTTAAACCCTTGGGGGCAGACAGAGGGCATGTGTTTGTTAATCAAAATCACTGTCATGCTACAAAACAGAAATCATGTACAACAGCAAATGCTTCATTACTATCCTTGAGTAACAGATACATGGAAGCCCAGCCTGGACAGTAAGCTCTCCTCCTGTCCTGAGCTCTGAAAACAAGCAACTATGGCCATGCTTTTCCACAGTATTGCCTTCCAAATCCTTCTGGGACCACACAAGTGGACACCTCTGGGAGGTAGTGGGGTTGTACCTCTTCATGGCAATTAAATTCCATCTTATCTCTGATTGTGGAATTTGCAACAATTTGCTTTGAAAATAAGATAAAGTAGGAAATGTATTTTTTTTTTAAATTAGCTTGTGCTCTTTGTTCCATTTAAGCACAGGGGAGAAATTCCCCCTTAAGGACCAAGAAAACACTTTACAAAATGCCTTAAGAAAAAGGTATGTATCTTACGTCTTCAGGAGGGAGAACTCAGGAAGTAACTGGTGACTAAATCTATTAACCAGTAATTCTGTTAGTATCACAGGATCACAAAATGGCTTAGACCAGAAGGGTACTCAAAGTCCACCCAGTTCCAACCTCATGCCACAGGCAGGGCTGCCACCCTCCAGATCAAGCTGCCCAGGGCTCCATCCGGCCTGGCCTTGAATGGCTCCATGGATGGGTCATCCACAACTTCTCCGGGTAACCAGTGGGTACACAACATTTTAAGTCCCTTGCTGAATGGCTGCCTTAACCCCTTCTTTATTTTGGTAACAACCCACCAAACATCGCTGCTTTGGAGCACTGCAAGGCCAGGCAATCAATGCTCATGGAAAGAATGTTTCTCAGACACTTTGTTAGCTCCACCAGCTTCACATACATTCCCCTTTCTGCCTGCAAACAGTCTGGTCTAAGTTCTACTTGCAGCACGAACCTAAAAACACCCTTCCTGAGAGAAGAGAGGCGGTGAAGGCTCAGTGTATGAAAAGCAGGGGGCATACATTGGAAAAAACAGGACCAAAGGCCTCACATCCCACAGCTGTAGGACAGCAGACCGAACCTGGCTCCCCATCCCCACACAACAGCAAGACCGGACCAAATGCCTTAACGGCCTATTTGAGCACTGGGGATAGAAGAGCAGTGGCAGCCGTTAATCCCAGTCCTGACCACAGGGCCAGGGTTGTGCCCACTGCAGTCAAACAACGTGAATATGGAGGGGAGCTGTGGGATATAAGGCCTCTGACACAGCAACAGGGACTGAAGGATTAAAAGCACTGAGGTAAGGGGTAAAAAGGGGCAGCAATAAAAAGTATTAAACAAGCAATCAAAAATTACCAAACAAGCTTTCCAAATTCACTTCTGATCACTTAGTGTTTGCCTTGAATCAACACTTAGCATGACATTTATATTCTGTAGATGTGCAGATCTTGAGATGTTCAACACCTGGATTTAGAATGCAGACTCGCCTGCATATTTTAATAAGTATTCTCTCCCAGAAATGTTTCTCATTTATTTAGATTCCTCTTCATAATTTTAATGGATAGAAATTAAGACAAAATTGGAAGAGTCTTCCCTGAAGAAAACAGATGTGTAACATCAAATACTCTAAAAGACTTCTAAAAACAAGAAATAGTGCAAACAACTTTATGTCATCTTTAAAAGAAAAAGAATACCCAACAAGAAAATAATTAGTGAAAACACATGTTAAAGTGTGTGTGTGGGGGAGGGGGGGGAAACAAAACAGAACTGTTTTTAGGTACCCTTATGAACAGGATTGAAATGGTTTAAAATCATAAGATGCACAGGAAAGCGGTCTCAGAGTGATGAGTGGTGGCATACAGATATTTTATTCTCAATTTTGTCCCTGCCTGTACCCACAGCCGTGCTTTCCCTTACAAACAGCCCTGATGATTAATTACTCTGTTCCGTAGCGAGGAGAGTGTATTCTTAGGTTTTCAGATGAAAAGTGCAAATGAAATGCAAAATGTACCATTGTTAGAAAACTTAGCAAATTATAGGATATGTCACGCCAAAGGGTTTTTTCACTTGAGTGTGACATGATTAAAGCCATGCAATAGCCAAACATCTGATACTTACACGCCAGCTTCACAACTATAATTGACCACAGCGGGTGACCAGTGGTGTGCTGGAAGATTTTTTTTATAACTCTCATCATTTTGCTGGAGAGCATTTCTTTTTTTTTGCCAGAATGGAGAGAGGGAATTCTATGCTTGAGCACACAACTCTGCCACTTTCCTAGCTTCAACTGTTTTCCCCCAAAACAATTAAAGAAAAGTTACTAAAATGCTTTTTGGCAGAAAAACTTGCTCTATTTTATCAGTGCTTCATGTAAAGCTCAAACTTGCTGATGAATGACTGTGGAAGGAAATTGCTCCCTAGCAAGAAGGGAGCATGCCGAATTGAAGACGAATGCAAAAAAAAAGGTAAAATCTTTGTGATTATAAATGTCTTCTTCATATAAATAGAAACATTTAAATAGCCATCACCTGCTTTCACTGGCTTGGCTGAAGTTCAACCTCCTCATGTTAATTCCCTGCTGACTGGCATTATTCACTTGCTTTGTCAGCCACGACTTCAGCCCCACTGCGCTACACGTGATGCACAGGTAAGGATCTCATGTTTCCAGCAGCCTGAAAGACAGGGCATTTTCCCTTGCTTTTTTCGCTCTCTTGACTGTTGCTGCTGATGCTGTCATTCCAAGCCAAAGATTTCTGTGCAGTATCTTCAGAAATAACTACAATATCTGTCTTTCCTCTCTGCTGGCATTGCTAAATGTCCTTCCTTTCTGCATGGTTACTCAGCCCTGTGCTCTTCTTTGCCCATTACTTTATTCCTCATCTTCCTTCAAATTCACTAGAGTAGAAATCAAGCTGTCTGTTCTAGCAGGATGAATGTGGGACCACACGCGACATGCCCCTGGCTGCTCCATGTCCATGGTGATGTACAGCAGCCATACGTTGCATTTATGACTGCTATGAATCACTGGAGCAATGAGAAATAACCAAAGCACTCCTGTGTGTTTGGCTTTTGTCACCTCTTGTCATGCTTGGCTGTAACATCCTTGGGGCAGGTATCTGTCTAAAACATCCAGAATGGATCAAACCCAAACCTTGCTTTATAAGCTGCTGGTTTTGATTTGCCCTTGGCCTCAGCTTGCCTTGCAGTCTGTAGGTAAAAGACTGCAGAGAAACACAATAAAAATACTTTAAAATCAGCAGCATGCCAAAAAACTTACAGTGACAAGCTCTTAGTGCTTTCCTCCCAAATCTTCAGGGAGAAAAATACAGCCATCACAGAGAAGATCCAATGCACAATTAATACACTCTACATTTTTCCTGCCCTCTGGGCTCAGTGGAAACAAAAGCCAGAGCTCAGTCCCCAGAGACCTAAAAATCCCAAACCAAAGAAGTATTGCACAGAATGACATTGAAGATGCCTGAACTTGTAGAAGCAACAAGTCTTTCAAACCCTCATGCAATGTCTTCTGAAGCAAGAGGTACCTGGTAGCTCCGTTCCTGTTTGCCCGTGCAAATTCCCACTTCCTCTAATGGAAAGGCAGATTTTGGCACAAATACATGCATGTTCCTGCATGGAGCTGTGGGTGCAGTCCTTGCAGCATGGCAGAGGTGTGTGCATATCCCACTAACATCCCACATGCAGTACTGCACAGCAGCCCTTGGCAGAAATTGTCTCAAGGTCTGAAAGATCTGTGGGCCAGAGCAGCTCTAACACTGGACACAGGAGCAGCTGGGAAACCTCCTCGGCTCTCAGGGCAGGAGAAGCGTGGGTTTGTAGCCCAAATTTCACCTAAACACAGAGAAGGCATCAAAAACATAAGCCTCCTCCACTGTTCGTCTATTTAGACAGGTATCTGCATTTATTTATCTGCCAGCTGTTGCAACTGTTGCAAAACAGTTGATTCCTGGAGCGCTGGCACCTATAGTGCCCATATGCCAGAACTGGCAATAGGGTTTCATATCCACTGCAACATTGGAGCCTGGAGGCTTCCCATGGTCTGCTGTTGTCACTATCTAGCTATTTTCACTGGGCAAAGGCAGATCAAAGGGCACAGTGGTAAAAAATTGATATGTACAGTCTTCTGTACACACTCACTACACCACCATGAATGACCACACAATGGGAGAAGTAATAAAATGGTAAGTCTGTTTACTTGGAATGGGAAGCAATTTTTTGGTCAAAGCCACGTTACATCCTTAAATGTTTTGTAGTTCAGTTCCAAACTCGCTTCCTCAGCTAAAGAAACAGTTCAAGCACCAAGTCCATCTCAGAATAATGAGAAACTGAGAGGAGAGATTTAGACCAGATATAAAGATTTTTAATAAAGGTGG